AGTAATTTGTTCTTATACTTATATAGTCTTTTTTGTCATCTCTTTTAGGGCTTTGAAGGAAATAACATCAGGACCTGTGAAATATATCAAGAAAAGAGCTTGTGATATACAAAGGATTGCATTTGAAGACTTCAAGAAAGGGGGGCTTCAAATTGACCTTTCTTTATATAGGTCTTTATCAGCTTCACTTTCTTCCGATTTTAGGGTTTTCTAATGCAAAGAGAGAGTGAAAAAATGATAATCATTGGCTTTTTTTGAATTTTGTGGCTCATCAACACTAAAAAAAATAAAATAAAATAAGCTAGTCCGACCCTTTAATCTAATCTAGCATATACCGTAATAAATAATAAAAAAAAAAAGTGTTTAGGTTGAGAAAAAAATGTTACAGGGATTGGGGCTTGATGACAATATGTCGAATTTAACTTCGGCCATATCCAATGAAGCAAGCATATCATCAAGTAACAACATGAATGAGATGGCAAACAGTGCTATTAATGTTTATCCACACCAAAATCTGCACTCTTTTGCATCACCAATTATTAGTAATACTAATAATCAGTCCCAAACTGCTCCCACAAAGAAGAGGCGAAATCTCCCCGGCCATCCAGGTAATTTTATTTTTATTTATTTGTTTTTGTGTATATGAATATATATGTATACATATAATTTTTCGAAATTTTTCCTAAAATTAATTAATATACCCAAAAAGTAATATATATGACTTCTTCAATTAATTTCATATCCATGTTAATTAGCAAAATTTATTTTTATTTTTTCTAAAATAATACTCTAATTAATCTCTTTTTTTTTCCGTTCATTAATTATCTAATAAAAAAAATTGGGAAAATATTGAATGAAAAATATTCTAGAATGATATTTGCTGACACATAAATACAAAACAGACCCGGATGCTGAGGTGGTGGCGTTAACCCCGAGATCCCTAATGGCGACCAACAGATTTGTGTGCGAAATATGCAATAAAGGTTTCCAGAGGGACCAAAACCTGCAATTACACAGAAGAGGTCACAACCTGCCCTGGAAGCTGAAGCAGAGGAACAAACACGAGGTGCCCAAGAAGAAAGTGTACGTCTGCCCGGAGCCGAGCTGTGTTCACCACGAGCCTGCCCGGGCATTGGGGGACCTGACCGGGATCAAAAAGCATTATTCAAGAAAACATGGGGAGAAAAAGTGGAAATGCGAAAAGTGTTCCAAGCGCTACGCCGTGCAATCGGACTGGAAAGCCCATTCCAAGATCTGCGGCACCCGCGAGTACAGATGTGATTGCGGTACTCTCTTCTCCAGGTAAATACAAAAATATATATTGATTAATTAATTAATTAATTAATACCCCGTATGTTATTTATATATTGTTTTTTATGAGAATATTTTTTATTTATTTATTTATTTTATGGTAATTGTGGAGGTGTGAAATGCAAATGTGATTTGGGTGTGCTTAATTAACTGGTAGTCACGGGTGTGAATAGTGAATTGTTTTGTGTTTAAAATAATACTTATGATTGCAGTTGATATATTCTAAAAGATAAAAGGAAGATCACATGTTCATTGTAGAATTCTATATCATCATATGCTGGTAGACAATTTCATTAAAATATGACCATTAGTAATATTATCTATAATTTACTATGTGTATGTAAATATTTTTTGAAATTATTAGAGGATTTATAATATATATGTATATATAAGCATGAAATTTTGTATTTTATCGGAACAAGTGAAAAAATTAGTAATATTAAACTAAAAAATATGAATATGAAGGTCTTTATAGTTTAAATTTGTAGATGGATTTTATGTTATTTCAAATGCCATTATTAATTATATTTGAGCTGTAAATAAGAAATAAAAATAAATATTTTTATATTTGTAGAGTAATAGATAGAAATACCCTCAAAATACAAAAATGTATTGATATTAATCTTTTTTTTTTATTTGTACTTCCATTGAAAAAAAGATAGAATTAGAGAGTTATTCTATAATTAGCAAAAAAAATATTTTTGTTAAAGACAGAATTAGAGAGTTATTCTATAATTAGCAAAAAAGAATATAGAGAATTTTATTTTATTTTTTATTTATTTATTTATTTATTTTTTCATAATTTCTCGTTTTCTCAAGAATTTAAATCAATCCCGTTCAGCTCACCTTTCAAACAAGTTCTTAAAAATAGTACGTACCTACTGTTATTTTGTTTTTCCTTTGAGGGGGAGACAAGGGGGCGTAAAGTAACAATAATTCAGTCCCACTTTTTTATGTGAAAAGCAAGAAATACAGCATCTCGAGAACCGTGAACTCTTACTCTCGTTTGTTTTGCATGTGTCCAAGAATCTCAACTGTCTTTATAAAGCTAAGTGACGAAAATAAAAGACACAAAGGGTTGACGATTTTCTCTATAAGAAAAAAAGATACTAGTAACTTTATAAAAAAAAAAGAAAAGAAAAAGAAAAGTGTTCTAACACATGATGATGAGTACTCTACTCTACAGTCTACAGTATTAGCGACTTAGCTTATGTAATATGTACCACTGTTTGGTCTGTTTTCTTCCCATTTTGTCACCTTATGCCTTGTTTGTTTCCCCTTGTTTTCTTATTCCGACAGGCGGGACAGCTTCATCACCCACAGGGCCTTCTGCGATGCTCTGGCACAAGAGAGCTCAAAATCAATCCCCCAACCAAACCCACTTTTCCTGCCCATCCAAACAGCTCCTAATAACAACCCCACCACCCAATTTCCCCACCAAATCCACAGCTTAAACTTCAATAATCCTACTTTCCCTCATCATCACCAGCTCAAGCAAGAAAACCTAATCAGCCTGCCCACGTGGCTGTCCTCCCCCAACGACTCCACGAGGGCAGAACCGTCATTTCACCACAACACTCCAAACCCTAGCATCAGTCCTTCTCTCATGTCCGCAACCGCACTGCTTCAAAAGGCGGCCCAGATGGGGGTAACGATGAGCGGCGGCGCCGCCGGCAAGGCCGCCGCTGACCAGAATCCGATGGAGGATCACGTGGGCGGTGCCACGTCAGCTTCCGGTGGTACAGCTGGCTTGGGAAGATTCGTCCACGTCAGCCCGAGCTGCATGCAGCAGATTCATAGTGCAGAAATGGTGAGTTCGTCACTACCGTCTACCGGGTTTGGCGGGCCGGGTTTGGGCTTTGAGGACGGGTATAGCGAGATTTTGGATGCGGAGAGGAGTACTATGAGCGGTTTTCGTGAGAATGCGATCCGTTTGATTATGGGTTTGGGGAAGGAAGCCGGACCTGGCGGCGCCGCCGCCGGTGGTGGTGGTTCCGGCGGAGGAGCTGCCGGAGATGGGCTGACGAGGGATTTTCTGGGGCTGAGGGGGTTTCCGGATGATAGGGATTTTCTGAATATGGCTGGGCTTGAGCAGATGGGATCTGGGCCGTACGATCAACATCATCATAATCATCAGGTTAATAATCAGAATCACGGGCCATGGCAGAGTTGATTATTAACTAGCTTAAGCATGATATGAAATGCTTGGTGCAATGTTTTTTTTTTGTTATTTATTATTTTGTTTTGCTTGTATTTTGATGACCT